ACGCCGTTAGAGCAACTGTTGTGGAAAGTCAAGAAAAAGAGTTACAACAGACCAAAACAGACCTAGTAAATGCTTTCTTAAGAACGAAAAGTCAGGTAGGACATTATGCTGCAGATGGAACATATGTGCCAGCTGGTGGAACTTATATACCACCAGATGAGGTACAAGAAACTCAACAGGAAGAAGTTCAGATACAACCAGACATGGAAGAAATAGTTCAGCAACAACAGCTAGAAGAGCCTGAAGGAAACGAACAAGTCCCTCCTTTGGAAACTACAGAAATAAATGACGCAAGACTGAAACATTGGGTAAAAGCTTTCCCATTCACAAAAGATATTATTGGTAACATGGAAAGAAAACCAGAATGGCTACAAAAACATATATTTGGAAACGAGCTTATTCCATATGGACAAGCTATATTTGAAGAGCTTGAACCGGAAACTCAGGAAAGAGTCATGCAAACAATAAGCGACGACTCAAATACAAACTATGACAAAATCTTTCTAGGATATAGGTTACCTGAGATGGGCGACCAGAGCCCAAAGGCAAAAAGGACATGGGAAATTTACAACATACTAGGTAAACATGAGGCAAAGATGCAACAACTTGAAGCAGAGGGCAAGTTACCAAAAGCGACACCAAAGAAGAAGAGTAGAACAAAGTGAAAATAGTGAAGAAGTAACTTCATCTAGTGAAAGTAGTGGCAATGAAGGAAAAAGAAGAGTTAAAAACTCAGTCAGGAAGAAAGTAAAGCTTGGTCCGAAACAATTATGACAAATAAATCCAACTATTCTATATTTTTACCCATATGAAATGTACGCCGCTCAGAATATAACGCCAACAGTTTTGGATGCCATGAACGGAAATGTTTCCGAATGGTATAACGAATGCGACAATGCCATTAGAAGGTCAGAAATAGTTCCTGGAACTTACGAATATACAACTGCTGTTTCTTATGGAAACGTAGGTGAGTTTGGAGAAGGTTCTTCAACAACAGTAGATATTGCTTGCGACAGGTTTCATATTATTTCTATTGACAACTCATTCTTATACGTGGAACAAGACATTGAAATAAAACCTTCTGCCAAGTTGTCTGACAAGAAAGGTTGCAATGGAATTTTCTATGTCGGATACCAATATGCTCCAGAAGTTTTCATGGGATATAAGATATATTCTAACTCTGACTTAGTTCAAACAGTAACATGGGCAAACTATGAATGGTTCGCTTTGAGAAACTCAGTACAACCACAAGCTAGAGAACAAACAGACCAGTATGCAACTATTGAGAAAATAAGAAGACTTGACCCTAACGTTCCAGGAGTTTATGTTAACCTTTCTGGTTCAGATGGAACTGCTGCCACTAAAGTAAAACTGAAACTTAGAGTTCCTTTGTCATCTTTCCTCATCTTCAGGTTTTTAAGATACTTACCAAACTGGGCAGGAAAAATTTCTATCGAACTTACTCCAAGCAAAAATAACTTAGTCATTGCACCAACACAAGACCCATTCAGCATTACTGTAGCTGGAACTGGTGGAGCCAAGTTCTGTGACTTTTGCAAAGACAAAGTTGACTTAGACTTTGGTTTCTCAAACTTCAACAATGAAGTAAACTATTATTTCAATGCTGCTGGAACTGCTTGGGACCCAGTTAAGTTTACATGCGAAAAGTTTGAATGCAAGAGAATAGAAAGCAGACTTGCAGTCTATATGTTGGACCCAGATATTTCAAATGCTTTAGCTGCCAAATATATTGCAGTTCCACTTATGTTCCCTATACACCAAATATCTGTCAAAGACTTTGCAGGTGAAGTTGGAAACCAAAGTGCTGACCCAGGTGCAAGAACAGATATTGCTTTAACAACTGCAATGAAACATGCAGATACTATGTTTGTACTGTTCAGACGAACTATAAATGACTATTCTTGTTTCTACAACCCCGGTATTAAATATCATATAAACATAGATGGCAAATATTATCCAAGAGAAGAATATTCTACAGTTGAGGATATGAGGTCATACAACTTGACATTAGATGCTATGAACTTTAACAACAACTTCACAACAACCATTAACCCTGAAATGCAAAGTTCTATTATGCCATATGTGAAAGTATGGACTCATACAGGAGGTCAAAAAACTCAATATACAAATGGAGACCGTTCAAACTTTTGGCTTGGCATTCCATTTGCTGACTCAGAAGACTTTATGGGTGGTATTTCAACTGTTGGTACAGTTCAAATACAATATACTGGTGACAGAGACGGTCCAGATGAATTGAAAGCAAAGAAGTTTACAAAACCAATAGCACTTTTCACGGAAGATGCTCTTTTGAAGATTCGTTCGATGAAACCTGCTGGGGCTCCTCAGATTGGCATAACGACAGCTTCCATCGAGCAGATTTTGGCAGCAGGTCAGTAAGTTGTTCTTGAACTGACTTCTCTCCGTCAAATATTGACAGTACGCCAGTTTTGACATAATATTGTAAGATAAACTTTCCTTTAGAAATATCTGTAAGTTTTGTTGTTATATTTTTGTCAACGTCAAGAACTTTCACCATCTCGGTTATACCAACTTTCTTTGCTTTATGAAAATATTTAGGTTCAGCAAAGACTGCTATTCTATAACATTTACCATTGTTTGTATAAAGAACTATTCTGTCAATGTATTTGTATTGTTTGTGTGTGTAAACTTTGTTCTGCTTCAATTCGAAGAGATACTCGAATACGTCCATCTTTTTATTCTAAGTAAAATGTCATTTCCGAAAAATAGAAGCGTGAGTGTTTCAAAAGGTTTAATGGCGGTAGCAGATGTGAAGTTAAATTCACCAACTCAAACAAACAGTCAAAGTGTTATTGTCAATGTCAAAGACAGAGATGTTGAAGTGGGGAAACCATACGAAGACGAAGATGGTATAACAATTGTTCCTGTAAAAGAACAACCAACATATCCTGAAGTTAGCAGAGACTTAAGTTCTGTTGCAGATATTCGAAATGACTACCAACAACTGAAAGACAAACTTCAAACTCAGGAGAAGATTTGTCAAGCTTTAAGTATAATGTTAAACTTGGTCGAACACAACCCTGTAAAAGTGAACTCATATGTCATTGCACCTCATGAAGTTTTGAAAGAACTATTGAAACTTTTGACAGAGGCAGACGATATAAACATCAAAGAAATAGAACCCGACATTAGTTGCTGTGGTGTTTCATATAATGTCATTGACAAGATATACGTTATGAAAGGAGGTGAAACGTTGAACTTAAAATATAGTTTCCCAGACGTCATAAAAATATTTGACGATCACAACATTTCATTAAAATTTATTTGCTAAGTAAAAATGTCAAAACTTCTTGAAAGATGTTTGAAGAAAAATAATATAGACTTTATTTCATGTAAAGGACTTTACACACTTTTGAACGATATGAAAGACCCTGTTTTGTTTGTTCGTGTAGACAAAGGAAAGTTCTATGTCTTTACAAAATATTTGAACTTCTTAGACAGAGAACTTCAAGAAACGCCATGTGAAAGTTTAGATGAAGTTCTTCTCCACTTTCAGAAAAACTTTTAAATATATATAAATGGCAGAAGATATAATGGTTTATACTATTACGACTAAAAACCCTGAGTCATATAATTCTATAACAACAAACTTACAAAGTCCTCAAGGACGATATTGTAAACTAACTTTAAACACAATGACGACTAAAGCCTGTTTTGCTCTTTTGACACCAGAAGACTTTATTGTTGTGAATGGTAAAAAATACTCCTTTGAAGATACTTACTCAGATATACCACCAACAGGTTTTGTTGACTTATTTAATACTTTAAGTACGGGTGTAACATGTGCTGCAACTAGAGCAGGTTTCATTATGTTTGGATGTCCGACTGAGTTTACTATAAACGATATGAGCTATAATACAAAACTTATTTCTGGTTTTTACTACCAACAGTTTCCTATAACAGGAAAAGGTGTCATACAAGGAATGTCTATTCCATTGACATTAAGCACACCAATCTTATATATTGTTTCAAACTTAGGTTCAAAGTGTTATTCGAATGTCGACAGAAACTATTATGACCAAAAGATACTTATGCGTATAAACAATACTTTCTCTGCTGGTTTGCCTATTGTTCATTCGAATGCAGAATTTTCAACCTTAGTGAACTCAAACACTTTGGCAAGTATAACGTTGACATTAGTTGACGCAAACTTTGTTCCTGTAAAACTTTTATGTCCTATGTATTTGTCAATGACGGCAGAAAGTTTCGAATTGGAAGATGCAACTGGTGAAAGTATTGTATTACAAGAACAACTTCAACAACAAATAGCTCAAGAACAACAAATGCAACAAATGCAACAACAAAGTCAAGAATAAAAAAAATATTTTTTTTTATTATAAAAATGTACAGAATAGATGTTTCAGATTTTTATGACTTCCAAGCATTCAGAAATATGTGTCCATTTAGAGACTATAACAAAGCAGTCGAGAATTTGAAACGTTTAGTCATTTATGTCGACTCTGCCCAGAATGTTATGTTATGAAAGAATGGGATGTTGTCTTTAACAAACCAAGAGCAACAATAGTGTCTGAACAAGAATGTAGACAGAAACTTAAGAAAATAAAAGTCGTACAAGTTGGCATGAAGATGTTAGATGCTTGGGATATCTTATTGTCAAAGTTAGAAGATTTTTCAGTTCGAGGTATAAAGTTCTATACACCTTCTCCAAACTTCTATTCTATCTTCACTGGATATAAATATGAACAAGTAGAATAGAAAGAAAATATTATAGAAGCTTGGTTAGACCATGTCAAAGAAATTATATGCAATGGAAACGAAAGAGTCTATGAGTATATCTTATGTTGGTTTGCAAACATCTTACAACATCCAAGTGCTAAAAATGAAACTGCTCTCATTATAATTGGAAAACAAGGAACTGGTAAGAACACATTCTTTACAGATATCTTATGCAAACTGTTAGAGGCTATTCGAACCCGAATATGACAAACTTAGAAAACATCTGCGGTAAATTTAACTCCTCAATAGAGAATATGAAACTTATAGTTTGCAATGAACTTCAAAGTATAGATACAACAAAAGTTTTGAACTCAGATGCTTTGAAGAGTCTTATAACAGACAAAGTTGGAGTTGTTGAAAGAAAGTATAAAGACCAAAGAGTTTGTGAAAATGTTGCAAACTTCATTATGGTTTCAAACAATGCTGTTCCGATGAAGTTAGAAAGTTCTGACAGAAGATATGTAGTTGTCAGAACGTCAGAAGCTCATATGCAAGATACAGAATATTTTGACGACTTAGCAGAAACTTTGACATCTGACTTTTACAACCACTTGTTCTCATATTTTATGACATTAGATATTTCTAAGTTCAATCCAAGACAAATTCCACATACCGAAGAGAGACAAACATTGTTAGAAGCAAACAAGAGTGTATATGAACTGTTCATAGATGAAACTGACTTTGTGTCATTAGATGAAAGGTCATTGTACGATTCGTATAAACAATATTGTCAAGAATATGGTTATATGACAGCTTCTAAACGTACATTCTTGGCAAATGTCAAAAGTCTTTTAGACGTACAGAATGGTGTATATACAAAGAAAAATTTTTCTGAGTAAATTTAAAAAAAAATATTTTTTTATCCGATAGAAAAGATGACAAAATTCATCTCAGTAAACAAGTACATGTCAGGACTTAAAGAAGAACTAGACCCATTCACATATTTGAATGTTTACTTCTACCATTTTGAAAAGTCTTCATTCAGCAAAGTTTGGAACATCGAACCAGTTAAGTTTGCTATTGTGACTAAAAATGGTGCGAAATTTGAAGACTTAGACATAGAAGGTTTGTTAGCAGTCAAAGAAAGTTTTGACAGAAGGTTCTCAAACCTTAAAGAAGGCAAAGCATACAAACTTGTTATACCTTATGAACCAAAGAAAGCAGACGACTATGAATATTATGAGTCTAAAGTTGTAGAAGTTCAAGGTAAATTGGGTAAAAAGATTTTAGAGTCTAAGCCAGTGTTTACTCCTAAAGAGGAAGAGAACATTGACATTGACCCAGAAATGTTCTAAAAATAAAATTTTATTTTTACATGTCAAATTTCTTTTTCTCTGGAACTGGTTCAGGTTCTTTCTTCTCTTCTTCTACTTTCTTTTCTTTCTTTTCTTTCTTCTTCTTTTCTGGTGGAGTTATGTCAAATTTCTCCGAACCATATTTATGTAAAAGTTCTTTGTCCTTTAATAGCTCTTCTATTCTGTTTTCTATTTCATCTTCAAGAACAGCGCATGTGTCTTCTTTGCATTCTAAGAACTTTTGTTGGACTTCATCTTTCCAATCGGTGTCATCTCTGTCAACAAGTCTGTCATTGACAAATTTTAAGACTGCTCTGCTTAATGTTTTATGGTTCTTGTCATATTCCCAGAAACAGAACTTTAGAACAAATTCACCTTTCTTGTTTACACTATGTAAGATTTTATGGTCGACAGATGTTTTGCTGTCAAAAAGTTTGTCTCGAATATAGATAGCGAAATCGCTAGACATTTTCTAAAAGATAAAATTTTTAATTTTTCTAAAAATATGTTAGAAAAAAAGTTTGCTGACATTGACAAGAAATTTGAGAATGTTTTAAACAAGAACAAGAGGAAGTTAGAAAATGCTCAGATAAAACCTATACATGACAAGTTCTTATTTGCTCAGAATGGTATAACAGGTCTAATCGCACCACCTGGGTCGGGTAAGACTTTCACTTATCTTAAAATGGCTGCACAACAACAAGAACTAGATGAGAAGAACCCATTCTATGAGTTAGTAGTCATTTGTAGTACTTCTGGTCAATTTGACCAAACCGTCAATTCGTTCAAAGATATTATAAAGAAGTCTAAGTTAGTATGTATAAAGGATACTGAGTTGTTAGATTGGATAAAGAAGTACCAAAGAAGAGTTTTGAAGTATAATGCTATAAATGAGTATATAAATTCGAAGTTTAAAGACCCAAATGAGGAAATGCAGAGAATATTAGAGAAGAAACACTTCAGAAACAAACAGAAAGAGATAGAATACATTTCGAAGAAATTGCAATCTTACGATTGGAAGACATACCCTCATAGGTGTCTTCTTATCTTAGATGATTTCGCCTCTCATCCTTTGTTAAAGAATAGAGAACAAGATATGTGTCGAATTCTTAAGAAGCTCAGACACTTTAACATCTCAGTTGTCATTTGTGTACAGACAGCAAAGAGTTTAAGTAAGGATGTTAAAAGAATACTGACTGACATTATACTTTTCCCCGGATTGTCCGAAGACGATTTCATGGAACTTATGAAAGAGTCCATGGCAGGTAAGTTTGACAGACATGAACTCTGGGAGAAGTACAAAGTCATACAAGACCCTCATACTTCTTTCAGAATTCATATCTACGCAAACAAAGTTCAAATTGTAAAAAGTCAAGCTTGAAAAATAAATGGTTCATCTACCCTACTTGTTTGAAGTTGTCAAAATACTCTGTTATTTTTTCTTTCAGTAGCGGTAAGTCTTCTTTGAAGGTAAGTATTGTACAACCTTTAATATCATAGTGTGTTTGAGGTAACGTATCTTGAACTATTTGTTTCACATCTTCATTTGGGGTCATTGAAATCGGTAAGTTTTCGCGATAGAACCAATTTCTGTCAGATTTGTAAATCTTAGCAAGGTCGTAAAAGCTTTTGTTGTTTCTTCTGACTAAATGCAACATAACCATGTCACTGTCTTCTTCATTTTCCATCTCTTCAGTATAAATCATATACTTATAGTTCTTTTCCTTACCTTTTGGTACCGAACGTGGTATTCTTTTCTGAATGTTTTTGTCTTTGGATTCAATGACTTCATCTTTTGCTTGAAGTTTCTTTTCCATCTCTTCACGTTCTTGTCTATGAATTTCGTTAAGAAGTCTGTAAACATGCCATGCATAACGAGGAGAAGCCCACATTGCAACTGCATTTACTAAAAGTCTATGTACATAATATCCTCTTAAATTTATTGGCAAATTTTTACGATTTTCATGTGTTTTATGCATGGCCGAAAAAAGTCGGTCTAGAGAAATTTCACTCAAAAGTTCTTGTGTGCTTTGGTTTTTGAACCAGTCGTCTGCGTGTTTAGTGTCTGGAGCAAAACATGCTGTCAAAATACTTTGCATTTGGTACATATCGTCTTTGACCGAACGAATGAGACGGAGTTGTTTGTTAAACTGAACCCACTCATATTCTTCATTTATAGCTTCATGGACTATAACTGTTGTTGTGTTCTCTGATGTTGACATATCTGTCCTTACATACAAAATAAAAAAATAAATAAAAATAAAACTAACTTTATTTTTTCTATCTTAAGGAAGTTCATGAATTTCATAGAGTTTTGGCGACCCAGATAAAAGTCGGTCTCGCTGTGCTTCACTGTTTTCATACGGAATCTCTTCTCTCGGTTTTCCGAGGGAAGCAATCTTATGCCATTTTAATCAGATTTTTGTGCTGAATTCAGCAAAAATATATTTTAGGGTAGAAGGTTAGATCTAACCTCCTTTCTAACCTGTTTTTTTCACAAGCGTTTTACATGGTAAACGTTATTTTTACATTATGACACGAAGTGAAGGTTTGCACTTCGTCAAAAATTAGCGTTATTTTTACATTATGACACGAAGTGAAGGTTTGCACTTCGTCAAATTTTATAAAAAATTAGCGTTATTTTTACATTATGACACGAAGTGAAGGTTTGCACTTCGTCAAAAATTAGCGTTATTTTTACATTATGACACGAAGTGAAGGTTTGCACTTCGTCAAATTTTATAAAAAATTAGCGTTATTTTTACATTATGACACGAAGTGAAGGTTTGCACTTCGTCAAAAATTAGCGTTATTTTTACATTATGACACGAAGTGAAGGTTTGCACTTCGTCAAATTTTATAAAAAATTAGCGTTATTTTTACATTATGACACGAAGTGAAGGTTTGCACTTCGTCAAAAATTAGCGTTATTTTTACATTATGACACGAAGTGAAGGTTTGCACTTCGTCAAATTTTATAAAAAATTAGCGTTATTTTTACATTATGACACGAAGTGAAGGTTTGCACTTCGTCAAAAATTAGCGTTATTTTTACATTATGACACGAAGTGAAGGTTTGCACTTCGTCAAATTTTATAAAAAATTAGCGTTATTTTTACATTATGACACGAAGTGAAGGTTTGCACTTCGTCAAAAATTAGCGTTATTTTCTGACTTTCACAAAAGACCAAAAATAAACGCTTTACATGTATTTTTCAGCAACTTCGTCAAATAATTTTATAGCTTTATCTATCTCATCTACTTCAAACGTTTCTTTACCTTTTATGGGAGCACCATATATTTTCTCAAACTTTTCAAGTAGTTCTGTTTCTGCAGCTCTCATATCATTAACCAACACAACCTTGACTCTATTGACTGTACTGTCATATCTTAGAGTTATATTATATGTTCTTCCTATCTTATATCTTTTTGTGTTGAAGTCCTTCGGTTTCTGAACGATGTAAAGTAAGCCTTCACTGCAACGTTCCGTATTGAATGAACCATAAGTTATGAAGTTATATCCAACAACTGGGTCTAACCATAACAAAACTATTGGTATAAGACTTTTGTCGATGAGATATGCTGCAGTTCCATAGAATTTTACCGATATCATAAGCTCAGGATTTCTTGTCAAAATTTTCTGAGTAGAAGCAATTTTAACCCAGTGGTTTGTTTTCTTTTCAGATGGAGATATAATGTCTGACAAAGAATATTTGTTGTATTTCTTTGAGTATCTTACGTTTAAATCACCTATTCTAACCACTTTGGTGTCATTGTCTATCTTTCCAACTGTTTCAAACTCAATGTTTGACATTTCTGTCTTTAAGTCTGCATAGTCGTTTCTCATACGTTCTATCTCTTTGACGGAGTAGTTATATTTCCTAATTGCTGCTTTACATTTTGAACATTGCGGGTTCATTTTTGCGTTATATTCTGAAACCTTACCTGCTAAAACAACTAAAGCGTCAATGGTTTTCTTTAACTCAAAAGTTGCTGGTTTTATCTGTTTGTTCCATATTTTGCCTCTTCTATCTTTATCTCTTATCTGCCATACACATTCAGCAACTAACGAAACAAAGTTGTCGTAGGTCTTAAATTCTTCAGATTTATATATGTCAGAAACATTCTTATATACCATGTCGCAATCTTTGTCCATAACTTTATGGTTGCAATGAAATCCAAGGAATTCATAATTTACCTTTCGTATGAACTTCTTTATTTCTACTGAGTCAGTTGCTTTGACTTCAATTTCGTCGAATTCGGGAATAGTTAGTTTTTGCTGCTGAATTTCAGGTAGTTTAGGCAAATGGTCGATGAGGTCCTGCATTTCATAAAGATACTGTTCATTTGTTTCATCTTTCGCACTACAGTCTAAATTACTTGTTAAAAGTTCTTGCTTTATCTTCTGGATTTTTGTTTCAAAAGTATATGAAGAAGGAATGAAGCTTTTCATTTCTACTAACATAGATGTTGGATTCATGACTAAAGAGTTTGGTGCTGTTGTTTGAATTGTTGTTGTGCCGATTGTTGACATTTTTATTTTTTTATACAAAATAAAAAAAATAAAAAAAAAATAAAACTAACTTTATTTTTTATTTCGGGAAAATTCATGAAAATTCAAGAGGGTAGAAAAGAGGGTAGAAGACAGGTTAGATCTAACCTTCTACCCTAAATTATATTTTTGGGTCCTTTACACTCATTACGAAGAAGTCTTGACAAAACATTTACGAAGAAGTCTTGACAAAACATTTACGAAGAAGTCTTGACAAAACATTTACGATGAAGTCTTGACAAAACATTTACGATGAAGTTTTGACAAATCATTTACGATGAAATCATGACAAAACATTTACACTCATTACGATGAAGAAGTCATGACAAAACATTTACGAAGAAGTCTTGACAAAACATTTACGAAGAAGTCTTGACAAATTCAAGAGGTTAGATCTAACCTTCTACCCTAAATTATATTTTTTGGTCCGGGAACAACTTTCTCTCAATTGGAGCTGTAGCGTACTCTTTGCGTAAGCGGTTCAGACCTTCTTCGAACTCTTGGTCTCTCTTCGATTTGGATTGAGATTGGAATTGCTGGAACATCCAAGGGTTGGGGAAGTAAGGCATAGGCTGAGGAGGGTAGTTCGGGAAGCCTTGTGGTGGGTAGTAACCTTGAGGTGGAAATTGGTAGTAATTTGGTGGAGGTACTTGCTGGAACTGAGGTTGCTGAGGGGACTGTTGTGGTTCTTTAGGTTCCTCTGGTTTGGGAATGGACTGGGTTGGTGGGACGTGGGACATTCGTTTGTGTCCTGTCGGAAGGAAAAACTTTTTCTGTCGGAAGGAAAAACTTTTTCTGTCGGAAGGAAAAACTTTTTCTGTCGGAAGGAAAAACTTTTTCTGTCGGAAGGAAGAACTTTTTCTGAAGTTCGACCAAAAAGTTCTCAATTTTCGAAAATTTGAATGGTTTACGGACGGACAACTAGAAAATTTTTTCCAGTTGTCGGGAAAAATTTTTTCTGTCGGAAGGAAAAACTTTTTCTGTCGGAAGGAAAAACTTTTTCTGTCGGAAGGAAGGACTCGGAATGCCAGAAGGATTTGACGAAGCAATTTACCTAATTTAAATTAACGACTGCGTAAAAGACTACTTGCGCAAGGTCATGAAGCCCAAGGTCAAGTTCACCACTATTTCTGGAAGGTCTACACTTCAGCTCGAGATTTCGACTGGAATTCCAATTGAGGTACCAGACGGGACAGCCTACGACGACATAAAGCAAGCAAAGAAAGAAGCTCTTCTCAAGTTCTTTGCAAAGCGCCCATGGATACAACTTCCAAACAGAGAGAGTCCAATTCCACGAATTATACAAATTCTCAGAGCACTGTTCCACTTCTCGGGTCAACCATTCTACATAACCTGTGAAGGCGACATCCAACCAGTTCAGTAAACCTTAACGTTTAACTTCACTTTTTTATGTTTTTTGTGAAAGTGTCAAAAATAAATTGTTTTCATGAGTTTTCTACGATGTTAGAAAAAATGTTAGAAAAAATGTTAGATCTAACATGCTAACATAAACATTATTTTTCAATACTTTTTCAGCACTTTTCCGTAGTTATATATGAAAGACAATTCGAGATAAAAGTCATAGTACAATGGAATAATATGTTGCACACCATTTGTTGTGAACCAAACTTGAAAGTCAGAGAAACTGTTACTAGGTGGTTCGTAGAATTTAGAAGCAAAGTCATAAAAGTCCTTACCAATACATAGAAAACTATTGTTGCTTGAACTGAAACTTGCATGACACATAACATTTTGAGGGTCAAACACGTTTCTATAAACTGTCAAATCTGCTGGTGGAAGTATAAATTTAAATGGACCATCTGGTGGTAATGGTTCGTTCTGGTTTAGTAACCGAAGAAATTGTGCCCAAGAACGTTTGTCTACTTTCCAAAATAAAAACTCTGTATCTCTTGGAGGGTTAATTTCAATCTTTTGAAATGAAACGGTGGAGTTCATCTTGTCATATTCTAGTTTCAGATAGTATGTTCCATTTAGTAAAGAGTCGTATTTTTCTTGAAATTCCCAATAATATTTGTTCATTTGAGTTTGAAAGTCATTTAGAGTTTTCTCAAGACTTTCGTCTGAACGAACTGTAAAGATTCTCATTTCGTCAAATTTGTCTATTAGACCATCAGAACCTTTATACTGCCCATGAAAATATACTGCGAACATAAATGCGTTAGTTCTATTTGAAAACAAAACTCTTCTAAATCCTATTGCCTTTGCATCTGAAGGACTTTGAAGCCAACGAATTGGATAGTCAAACCTGTATGCTCGGGATGAAATTTCTTCATCTGAAATAGTCCTACCAGCATTTGTAAAGATATAGTCTAACGGTTTTGTATCTGCTACTTTTGTTCTTTGTTTTTCAACCTGAAGCATTTAATATATGTAAAAATATATTGTTTTAAAATGGTATGCCATTTCATATTTCTCATCTAACAAACAAGTTTCCCAACGGTCTTCTCCAACAAACTCAGCGTACATTTCAAATAAAATTTAAAAAATGTCACTTTTTAAAAAATAATTTTTTACTTCATGCAATGTTTTATTTCTGTGCCGTCTTCAAGTATGCCCCAGTACTTACGCTTGGAGAGGACATGAACTTCAGAAAATACCTTATCTAGCTTAAAACAGCCCATCTTTTCACTGACCATTCCCATTTCAATGAGTTTGTTGTATCCTTCTTCGTTCGTCATGAGTGCGTCAATGTTTTCATAGTAAACCTTCACTTTGGATTTGACTTCGGAGAAGAATTTGTTGTAGTTGTCAAGGACTGCCTTTGCGAACTGAGGGTAAGACCAATGTTCGACAATAGGTTTTAATGTGGTTACTAAGCCACTTTGACCTTGAGTGAATTCGTACTTCAAAACAAAAGGAGAAAACCTTTCAACAAAGTTGTCGACCTTCTCATAATGTTTACTCTTCATCTCTTGAGGTTTCTTAATGGAATATCCCCATGTCGAATTCATAAGCAATTTGAGTGTCATTGCAAGTTTGGGGTTTGAAGCTTTCCTAATATCATACAGTTGTTGTATGACTTTTCCAACTGTATAGTTCCTTCCGGGAACTCACTATCTTCGTTTGGAATTCCAGTCGGAATATATTGGACAAACCTCATGTATGCAGCGTTAAGGTCGACATAGTATATCTTTTCATCTGAGTCGAACTTGTCGCAACCAATTGGTCCAGTTTGTGGAAATTCAAGTGAGTCTCTTATCTTCTGAGAAACTTCTCCTGTTATCTCATAAACATCGTCGAAGCAACCTGTTTCATATAAAACCTTCTGACCTAACTCAGATGCTCTCCAATACAATTTGACGTCAATTGGATGTCTCAATGGAAGTTTGTTTATAGCATCTTGAAGTTCTTGCAACCTCATTGGAAGTTCTTCTGGTTCAGGTTGGTATCCGAACAATCCAACTCCTTGTGGAATTGTGTGTACTTCTTTTGTACTAGAACTTTGTCTGGAACAACTTTTGGTCTTGCTAACAATGAAAAGTTTGTTTCGTCTTTTGGTACAAAAGTTTCTGTCAGCTTGTCATCTGGAATTGGTTCCAACAAACCTTTCTCGAAAAGAATGTTTACAGCTCTGACAATGTTGCACTTGCCTTTTCCGAAACAATGGGTTTGTAAGACTTTCGTTCAACATGAAGTGGTTGTGGACAATTACAATCTTCAACCATGGTAAATTGAACTCAACAACATAGTCGTCATGTGAAGAACCTTTAGCTGTAGGTATGTTGACTCGGATATTGACATTTGCCAACGGTGCAATTTTTGCCAATTGACCTCTGAGAATGTACCTTGTCTTCACACATGACTCAAGATACTTCATCTTCTCATCTGTAACAAGACCAGAGTTCCTGAGACATGTAAGAATGCAAGGTTCATTGACAATTGTTTCAATTGAATTGTAAATTCCATACCTTGTCAAGTCAATGTCAGACTTATTTATGAACGGGAAGTATCCAGCATGTTGTCTGACTGCTTGAGGGTTAGGTTGGTACCATTCGAACTTGACACTTGCAATTCCTTCAATTGCATTCAAAATGTCTGAGTCGGAGTCAACCATTTGTTCTCTCTTTGTAGTCTTGAAAGCGTCAAGAAGCATTGCAGCTGTTGTGACATTGCCATGTGCATAGTAAATGTGACCATCCAAATCTGTTATGGTCAATCTGAGATTGTATCCTTTCTTATTTCCGTCTTGTATGGCAGCAAGTACACCCATGAAGCCTTCTTTGTTCTTTCCTTCGTCAAAGTTGACTGTAAAGGTTCGACCAGATGTAATTTGACTTCTAACTTCACGATACTTCTCATATGCATATCTTGTTCTTTCCATGGAGCATGTGTGTCTTCACCTTTTCCTTTTTTCCTTCTCAAAGGATGCAATTGTTCGTCATGTTTCCAATAGAATCTGGCAAAGCCGTCGTGTCCTTCAACTTGAGGTTCACTAACATCGAAAGGCATGTCCATAAGACGTTCTTCTTCTAACCTCTCTAGTCTGTTTGGATAATTTGCACGTGCTGTTTCCAAATCCATTTCGTAGCGAAGACCAGACAATTTGTCATAGACTTTTATGGGTCTTCCCTTCCTATATTTAAACTTCTTCGAAACTCTCCAACCATATCTTTGCAACTCTGCTTTTATTCTAGCAGATTTTCTATCCATTCTATATGGGGGCATTTTTATAAAAAGAAAAAAAATATTTTTTTCTTTACTTAACATAACCGCCTGCTGCCATAAGTCTTTGACGCCAACCCATACCAGCTAATGAAGGTTGACTTGGTTTAGTTTCCAAACTAAACTTTGGTTTTGGTTTATCTTCAGTTTTTGGTTTCTTCTTCTATCGGTTTTTCGTCACTTTTCGGTTTCTCTGACTTTACCTCACCTGCAGGAACAGTTGTGTCGTCAACATCTTCATAAATATCATATGCCATTTGTTTTTGTTTTCCTTTCAACTTTTTGTGTTTGTTGTAAAGTTTAGAATATTTCGACTCTAAGTCAATGAGATGTTCTATAATGAACTGTTGGTCAGTGAAGTAAACTTTTCCATCTGTTGTCTCGAAAGCTCCTTCAGACTTCAATATTTTATTTGTGAGAGTCTGTTTCTTTTTTGAGATACTAGCCGTTCCATTTTTATGAAAAGTGACTTTGTAGTTAGGGTTTGTATTTCCAGACCTGGCACTTTCTATTATTGAATTTTTCTCTTCATCTGTAAGTTCTTTGACAGGTTTTGACAATGGTTCTGAACTTTTTGTTTGTGGTGTCAAATCTACCGTTTCAACTTCTTCGGTCATTTCATCTCAGTAAAAAATTTTAGTTTGGTTTGTTTTCAACTGGTTGTTGTTGTTTTTTAAGTCGGTCTAAAACTTCCTGAGGTATAGGAAGAACTTGACAAACACGTTGTGTAACTGCTGGAAGCCGACAAATCCATCTTGAACCCATTTGTCTCAATGCTGTATTGTTCATTTCATCTCAGTAAAAAACTTTACATTCCCCACGTTTGAGGCGGTTGAGGTTGGTTATTGTTTACCCATTGTTGTGCATGGTTATATCCTCTGTTAAAGAATCTTTCACCTTGGTCCATATAGTGTCCTGCTTGGTTATAGTAGTCATTTGCTTTGTTATAATAGTTTCCTGCTTGTCTTCCTACATTGTCCATCCATCCTTGAACTTTTCCTCTTGTTTCAGGATTTGGAATAAGATTTGTTGCATCTCGTGCTACATCCCAACCTTTCTGTACAGTTTGTATAATAGGTTGTGCTTTCTCTTTAAGTATACCTAATGTACTCAAAATCTTCCTTCCAACTCCAAATACACCTCTGGCTATTGTTCCCACTGCGGGTAAAAATCTGGATGCAACTCCTGCTAATGCGCCAAATAAACCCATTTCTTATGGGTTAAAAAATGACGAATCCAAACAAGAACCCCTATGTTTCTAAAGCGACAAAGAAAGCACTCATGGTAAAAATCTTTAGTTCAACACCAAATGCTTGGTTTATGGATATCTTGGAAAACATTCCGAGAGTTAGAACAGATGGACCACCATACTGGTTAATATTTGTTGGTCAAAACACAAGATACTGTGAAGCCATACCATTATGGTCCAAAAATATTTTAGATGTGAAAACTGCTTTGACAATATTCGTTGACAAATACCATCCAACAAAACTGACATCTGACTGTGAAAGTTCTTTCAAATCAGATGATGTAAAAAACTATCTGCGTTCAAAAAATGTAAACCAATATTTCATTGTCGACCAAAACCATTCTGCTCTTGGTGTCATTGACGGATGTATAAAAATGTTAAGAGACTTAAACCAACCACAAGGTGGTGAAGCAAATGAAATGTCATATGACGACAAATATAGACACTTCTCCATGGCAAAGATGAGACAAGTTTTAAATATTTACAATAGCCGTAAACAAAAAGGTTTGGGAAACCACTCCCCCGAAGAAATGAAAAACAACCCTGACTTAGAGAAAGACTATATATTTAATAATTTAGTCAAAAGAGACAAACAAGAAAGAATGCCGGGCTGCAAACTTCAGAAAGGTGACAAAGTAAAAATAGAAATACCTAAACGCGACCCATATGAAAATACTATTGACTATGACAACAATGGGAACCCGACAGGTACTCACATTCGTGTTCGTAAAAATAGAAGAAAGTATACAAGAGAATATTATGAAGTTTTAGGCAAACATGGCAAAATGTACACACTGCAAGCAGAAGATAAAACTACTATTGTCAGACCTCGTTTCAAACTTGTCAAAGTTCAAGGTGGTATACTTTCAAAGACAGTTCCTAACAAATATAAGACAACTCCTGACGAATATGCTAAAGAAGTTGAAAATGACGACTAAGCAATTCTATACCATGCGAATACAGTCATAAATAGTGGCATATAATCTTTACCCAAGCCTGTTGGATTTGTTGTGAAAGTATGTGAATGATTTCCTCCTGGTTCAGTTGGTCGAAAAGTCTTTTTTGCTGAATGGTTATAATCTGGAGATAAAACGTCATTGCCAGCATAATATTCTGAGTTGTATAATGGATGGTCTCTTAATGAGTGACTATGGTCACCAGAAAAGTTTGTCGTTCCTGTATGAGTGTGCGGTGGAAGGTTTGCTTCAGTAATTTTCTTCGAACCTCCTGTTTCCTTTGAAGAGTTTGCACAATACAAAAACCTGTCGACTATTTGTTCCCATGCACCAACACCAAACATTACTTGAGGACCTCTTGCATCCATAGATGTATAAATAGAACCTACTGGGTTCATTAAATCAAACATATGAGATATTATAGGATTGTCTCTTTTGAACTTAAAATATAGTGCAACTATTTCAGGTTTCTTCTGGTTTGTGTCAGAATATTTTTTATAATATAATCTTATGTTTTCAGGGTAGGTAAAATCTTGACTATAATATTTATTTCTGTCATCTATATAATAATATACTATTCTCGTTTTTTCTATTGCATTATATCTTTTATATCTATAATAATCTAAATATAATGTTTGCTTTTGTTCATCTGCATGTAGTGTTCCTTCGTCATCTACATAGTCATAATAATATGGTGCTGGAGCTGGGTCAGGCAATGTCATATCTGCCATTTCATAAACTCTTAAATATTTCTTTTGTTCGTCTCCATATAAGTTTAAGTAACAGTTGTTGTCTAATGGAACTTTAACTTGTGTACCATCATTCTTTATATAGCTTACATACATTTCATTGTTATTTTTCGGAATGAGTTTACACCGTGTACCATTTTTTAAGGAATGTACAAACTGCCATCTAAAATATTTATTTTCTTCATTGAAAGAAAAGTCACCAACAATAGTTTCAATATTTTTTGTTGTTCCTATCAAACTTTGGTATATTCCGTTGACATATGTTTTATCTGCTTTCTTTTCAAGGCTAACGTTTAAGTCTGTTATTTCAGAAGATGTATGTGTATGTCCAACGGCACTTTTCCTGTTTAAGGTTCTTGTAAGTTTGTAATATTTGCAATGGTATGTGTATGTCCAACGGCACTTTTACTGTTTAAGGTTTCTTGTAAGTCTGTTATTTCAGATATAGAATGTGTATGAGTCTTTTTAGAATATTCGTTTTCAGCTCTTGTCACTTCACTTGACATTTTATTGTCAACATATGTTTTGTCTGCTAGTTCAGGATGAGTATGTTCTTTTGTTGCATAAGCATTGTTAGCTCTTTCTTCTTCTTTTGCTATTGCATCGTCTACATATTCTTTGTCAGCTTTGTTGTCAACATCTGCTTTCAAAAGAAGTTCATTTATAGGTTTCTCGTTTAAAGTTCCTTTTGTTGGATTTATACAGACAGTATGGTTCTTATTGTCTTGAAACAGAAACTCATCTGTCATTGGGTTTAATGTCAGTTTTAAGTTTCCTTCTTTCAATGACTCAGATATCTTAGAATAGTTTGAAAAGTTTGTTGTGTTCTTATTTAGAGCTTGCATAATGAGTTGTCGGTTGTGTTGTATTTCTCGCATAGACGCTGTTTCATTTGACATTTTTATTCTAGATAAAATATGCTTTCAATAGAAAAAGAAAATTCAAGAGTTGCTACAACTAAACCATTAGATGAACTTTTTACTAATGTCGGTCAAAAGTTTGAGACAGAGACCGTAAAGCATGAAGGCTATCGTTTTGACTACCCATTAAGATGGCTAAGAGACCCATCTGTCACAAAAGCTATTGGCTTTCGTAGAATGAAGTTCATTTCAGAAGCCATACATGGTTTCCCATTTACGGTCGGTTTTGAAGTTCGATACTATAACAAAGAAAAACGTATGTATGAGAAATTTGAACAGGGAAAACTTTTACAAGTTAGTTTGCTTGTAAACTTAGAAACAACTCTTCAAGCTTTTCAAGAAAAAATAAACGATATCTATATCGAATATGCAAACCAGTATAACATTGACGAAGGAGAGTACCATCTCGATATTATTTATGACAGGAAAAATGCAACTGTTAAAATCAATAAAATAGAAGACCTTGGAGAAAACGTTTATATTTCTACAAAATATAACAACTTGGCATGGTATAGATTTATGAGGATGTTAAATCAGCCTGCAGCATATCCAGTACACCCAGACTTTTATGAAGTCGAAAACCCTAATGGAACATATGAAAATGTTTTCGACCAAGATGCTATTATTGTTCATGCTTCATTTTCTGGCGCCCAAAACTCTTTCTTATGCTTGGCAAATGACTTTTACGAAAAACCTACAAAGTTATACGAACCACCAAGTGGAAGTATTTCAGACTTTCAAGTATGGTTTACTACAGATGGAAGAAAAAGAATAATTCCATTATACCATGCGTTTCTTAGAACTTAGTTTCATATACAACTACTATCGAACGGTAAAAATATAATTTTTTAATACGGTTGAGGTGTTGGATTTGGTTGCCAACTAGACTGTGGTGCAGGTTCAGGCTGTTGTATAACAGGAGCTTGTTCTTCTGGTTCAGGGTCTTTAGGTATAATACCAACAAACTGACCTACTCTTTTACCAATATTTTTGACTCCGTTCCAAATTCCTCTTCCTACGGTTTTTATTCCATTCCATATACCTCTTCCAACATTTCGAAAGAAGTTTCCTATCTTACTGAAGAAACCCATTTTACTATATGTAAAAATCTAATGTCCCCTAGCTTTTGCGTTTCCTGTTGAGTTCCATAGCATTCTTTAACTGGAGCTCATACATTCTGTTTCTCCTCTGGTAGAAAACATATTCTGGGTCACTCCTGTGTTCGCGTCATCTGCATAAAGTTGTTTATATCCCACTTCAGGGTTTGTATAAAACTTTTCCATCTCATATTTGCATACCATGGTGGCAAACCTAACGCAGCGTCATTTGACATGGCAGTTTGCATTTGTACATCTGTTGGCACTTGACCATAGTTTGCCATTGCAGTTTGTATTCTAACTTCATTTGGAATATTCTCTGGGTTTGGTTGTCCAGGTTGCTGTGCATTCGCTAAGTTCTGTGCGTCCATTTAATATTAGATAAAAATATCTCTTACGAGTACATATACTGAACATTTGCAGGCATTGGTTCATCTTCATATTCTCTATATCTTTCTGCCACGTCAAATAAATAAATGACACAATGGAAAAAACCTAAAACAAGTAGTCCTATTTCAAACCACATTTACTTACTAATAAAATTTCTTTGTTATGACACTTTCTCCGGTTTATAGGACCTCTCTCATATTCTATCTTGTCATATCTAAACTCATAGTCATGTATGTCCTCTAACCATCTCATAACGGTTTCCAAACCACTTTTATCGGATGTAAAGTAAAAGCATGGATGGTTATGTAAAACGTCTAAAGTTTCTAAAGAGTCTCTCAAAGTCCAGTCTACTTGGTATTGAAAATCCCATGTGTTAAAGACGGCGGGTCCACTATAAAGAAAACATTTTCCTTGTCTTTATATTTTTCATACAACTCTGTCCAATGACATCTCACAAACTCTATACCCTCAATATATTTTCTATGTCCTCTTTGAAAACATTTGTATAGTTAAGATATAAAACTTTTGACATAAGTGTTTCAATGTCATGAACTCTTATAGAACCACTATATAATAGTCTAGCAGATATACTATCCCAGTCTATATATTCTGCTTTTTTCAAAACCTCTCTCACAATATTTTTCTTATCTAATGGTATACGTTCCATCTTACCTATAGGTATCTTTTCTTTTAACTCTTTCAATATATTGTTTGTGTCTGGTATATGTTTGAGACGGTCCATATAGTTGTCGAAGTCATTGCATATAATCTTTGAGTCTGGGAATATTGTATGGCACAAATGGGATATATAGAAACTTCCACCGAACAAATCTACAAATGTTAGACCATTCGGTAGTTTCTTAAGTTCTCTCAATATAATATCTTTACATTTACTCTTATTTCCAAAGAACGGTAACGGAGGTTTTGTAAAATTCATTTATATATAATAATAAAAATGTTTTTACCCGAAAAGTGACAGAAAAGTGACAAAACATGAAAACATATATAATTTGTGAAAAGCGACACATTATATAATGTTTTCGACCCAGAAGACTAACAATTTTCCGAATAAAAACTTCATTTATACTAAACATCTTCAGGGCTAGAGGGCGCAACGCGCCTGGAAGCCCCAATACCTTTTTTTTTTTTAATTTCAATTTGTTGGCAGTCTTGCACTCATATTATAATTTCTAAATTTGAAATCTTGCAATCTACTCATCCAAAAGCATTTGAACTGCAAGTACAGGATTATGAAATTCATAGGTCTAGTAGATGATGACTGTACATTTGGATTTAGCCCTTGATGAATAAACAATTAAAATGATCGCAGGTGTCAACCAAGATGAATTTTTCATTTTCAATACATGCCAAAGATATATCTTCGATAGCCTTTGAAATCTTTATTCAAGGAAATGTGCCATCATCTTTTCATTGAAAAATTTTTATATATCATATTATTAGTTCTAAATTATGATCTTTCAAAAATCAATACATGTGTCAAATTGTGTTATAGACCGAAAATAGATTTTTTCGGTTTTCTCTTCAAATAATTGAAAGAATGATACTATTATAGGTTTATTATATTATATAGCATATAATCATGCTATAGCCGAAAATTATAAGTTTTGAGAAGATTGAATATAACACAAATAAATTTGAATGTAAGTTAAATTGCTTGTTGTTTTTAATAGCTATTTAATGAGAAATCCAATATTGCAAAATTCAAATTGAATGATTGAAAGAACAGAAAAAGTCATTCTTTTCAATTTCGAATATGTTTCATTGTATTTATAATTATATGGCAAATAAGATATTTAAACTTGATTTTTGAAGGAAAATTCACCATATTGAAAAAATTCAAATAATTTTTATTCAAAAATAAACTAGTTATTTGAGTTTAATACTAATTATCTATTCAAACTACAAATTTTGTAATTTAAAATATTTTGTGAGATCAGATTGAATTAATTCAAGGTTCTTTTCAATTAATATTAATGACTATATTACGCATTTTCGAACATTCTAAACCAAATATATAAAAATGGGAGACGAATGTTAAATTTGCTAGACATGGGGGAGTTGTCTGCAAAGTTTTAGCTCTTATCTCTAACAAAAATTAATTTTTTAAAAAATGACCGAAAACGTTTCACAGCGAGAAAAAAATAAAAGGCAAGATAGAATTTTCTAGACATAAAGAAGTTGTTTACCGAGTTTTAGCTCTTATCTCTAACAAAAAATTAATTTTTAAAAAAAAGACCGAATACGTTTCACAGCGAGAAAAAAATAAAAGGCAAGATAGAATTTTCTAGACATAAAGAAGTTGTTTACCGAGTTTTAGCTCTTATCTCTAACAAAAAATTAATTTTTAAAAAAAAGACCGAATACGTTTCACAGCGAGAAAAAAATAAAAGGCAAGATAGAATTTTCTAGACATAAAGAAGTTGTTTACCGAGTTTTAGCTCTTATCTCTAACAAAAAATTAATTTTTAAAAAAAAGACCGAATACGTTTCACAGCGAGAAAAAAATAAAAGGCAAGATAGAATTTTCTAGACATAAAGAAGTTGTTTACCGAGTTTTAGCTCTTATCTCTAACAAAAAATTAATTTTTAAAAAAAAGACCGAATACGTTTCACAGCGAGAAAAAAAATAAAAGGCAAGATAGAATTTTCTAGACATAAAGAAGTTGTTTACCGAGTTTTAGCTCTTATCTCTAACAAAAAATTAATTTTTAAAAAAAAGACCGAATACGTTTCACAGCGAGAAAAAATAAAAGGCAAGATAGAATTTTCTAGACATAAAGAAGTTGTCTACCAAGTGTCAGCTGTTACTTCTTCTCAATACTGATATAAAATAAAAATCTTTATTATTTATTTAACCTTTATTGTTTCATTAAACTTCATTTATTTTATATTATAGTTTTATTCTTTTAGCTACTTGTAAAATAATCTAATTTTATATCATCATTTTACCGGATTAAAGGCAAGGCAGTTGGGGCTTCCAGGCACTTCGTGCCCTCTAGCCCTGAAGATGTTTAGTATAAATGAAGTTTATATTCGGAGGGCTTCCAGGCGCGTTGCGCCCTCTAGCCCCGAAGATGTTTAGTATAAATGAAGTTTTTATTCGGAGGGCTTCCAGGCGCGTTGCGCCCTCTAGTCCCGAAGATGTTTAGTATAAATGAAGTTTATATTCGGAGGGCTTCCAGGCACTTCGTGCCCTCTAGCCCTGAAGAAATTTTGCCCAAGACCCAAGAGGAGGACCGAACCCCAGCCCTCTAGCCCTGAAGAAATTTTGCCCAAGACCCAAGAGGAGGACCGAACCCCAGCCCTCTAGCCCATAAGAAATTTTGCCCAAGACCCAAGAGGAGGACCGAACCCCAGCCGACCAGCCGTTGACTTTTTGTAGAGCACTCAAAATAGTATAACTTTGTCCGGACAAGTAAGGGTCTATCGTCGCTACAGGAAAAGTTACAGGCGTTCCAAGGAAGTATACTTTGAGAAGCCTTTTCTCCCTTTTAAAACAAGATAGGACGGTTATTTTACAAAACTGACAACACGTTGACCGAGTAGTTTTTTGTGCTGAACAAAAAGTGTCATATAAACATCTGTCAAAAACCGCTTTTTAACTTCACTTAAAATGCCACGTAAGCTACGTAAGAATATACGTAAGAGGAAGGGAGCATTGAAACATCCAATAGTAAAACTGACACCACAACAACAGTTGCAACAACAAATGATGAATGACCCCACTATGTTGAACAAATGTCAAGCAACCCTATGCTTTTAAACCGAGTTATTGGTGCACAGAGTGGAGGTTTAAGAGCGGCACTTTTAGCGAAAATGGCAGGCTATGGTGGAGCTGCAGACGGAACAGCCTATAACCCTCAAAGTCAAATGAATTTGAGTTCACTCAAAAATCAAATAACAGATGTCAAAAAGTCAAACATAGACATACAGAAACAAATAAGTGAAAACGAAAAGAAACTAGAATATGACAGACACACAAAGAAACT